CCACAGCTGCTCCCCGCCAGGGAGCGTTTTGTTTTCCGACGGTGCAAACACCTGCTCTGTGCGAAGAGGGGTCTCCCAAGCCAGCAGCCCAGCTGCTGGTGCTGCGAGGAAACCAATTTTGCTTTTTTATCAGGAGAGCTGTCCCAGCTGTGTGAAGCAGCCCAGGCACCATGCCATAGCATCTAAGGGAGGGAGGGAAACCTCTGTCCACCGAGCTGAGAAAGGCTTTTGAAAGAGTCACAAATTTAACTTCCCAGCCACCTCCCGAGGCAGCGAGAGGGGAGGTAACGTGCCAAGGCTACGCTGCAGCCCCGCAGGGAAGCAATGGCTGGGTGATTAGGGCCCCAACTCAGCATGGGAGGGGCCCACATTCAATTTCCTGCCCTGCCTCAGACTGACCCCGGGCAATGTATTTCACCAGGCCGTGCCTCAGTTTCCCCAACCCTAAAAGAGGGGTGCAAGCGCTGCCCTGCCTCTGTGTGGGAGGAGAAACATTTTAAACGGTGAGGGGCTTGGATACTATGGGGATGGGGCCCTAACAGAGGCAGAACCGGGAGCTCTGGTTCCCCAGCACTCCTACCCTTATGTGAGGAAAGGCTTAAGGGGGGAGCAGGCTTTGCCTCAAAGAAAAACAACTGAGGGCGACTAGACCATCTCAAAGCTCTTATGAAGGGGACAGGCAGGGCTATCCCAACCCTCCCCCCGGCCTCTTCTTCAAGCCCTGACCCCCCAGCAATGCAGCCCAGGGGATACCAGATCTGGCATCAGCAGGGTTTCAATCCCTCCAGAGAAACAGGCTAGGGACACCATTTCTACCCATCCTGGCTAATAGATGAATGGAGGTTCGGTCCATCAATGGCTATCTAGCTCTTTTTTGAACACTGTTAAAGTCCTAGTCTTCACCACATCCTCTGGCAAGGAGTTCCACAGATTGACTACGTATTGAGTGAAGACAAACTTCCTTTTGTTTGTGAAGACCAGGACTTTAACAGGGTTCAAAAAAGAGCTAGAGAAATTCCTGGAGGTTGGGTCTATCAATGGCTATTAGCCAGGCTGGGCAGGGCGGGTGTCCCTAGCCTGTGTCAGAGGCTGGGAAGGGGTGAAAGGGGAGGGATCACTTGATGATTCCCTGTTCTGTGCACTCCTGCTAGGGCACCTGCATTGACACTGTCGGCAGACAGGACACTGGTCTAGATGGAGCTTTGGTCTGACCCCGTCTGGCTGTTCTTGCATTCTCTGAGGCTACGTCTAGACTGGCATGATTTTCCAGAAATGCTTTTAACGGAAAAGTTTTCCGTTAAAAGCATTTTCGGAACAGAGCGTCTAGATTGGCACAGACGCTTTTCCGCAAAAGCACTTTTTGAGGAAAAGCATCCGTGGCCAATCTAGACGCGCTTTTCCACAAAAAAGCCCCAATCGCCATTTTCACAATTGGGGCTTTTTTGCGGAAAACAAATCTGAGCTGTCTACACTGGCCCTTTTACGCAAAAGTTTTGCGCAAAAGGACTTTTGCCCGAATGGGAGCAGCATAGTATTTCTGCAAGATGCACTGACAATCTTACATGAGATCGTCAGTGCTTTTGCGGAAATTCAAGCGGACAGCTGGCAAGTTTTTCCAGAAAAGCGGCTGATTTTCCGGAAAAACTGGCCAGTCTAGACACAGCCTGAGTGTACAGCGGTGGTGGGAGTGGGGTTTAGTGGTTGGAGCAGGACCAGAACTCAGGACTGGGGGTTCTATTGCCAACTCCGGAAGGGGATCTAGCGACTAGAGCAGAGAAGGTGAGGAGTTAGGACCTAGGCGCTAGTCTCAGCTCATTCCCTTTGCCTGGGTGTAGCGAGGCTGCAGATGGCTCCACGGAAGGACCAAGCAGTCGGTTACGCCCTTGCCACCCACGACTCAGTCTCCAATTTGGAAGAAAGCACAACTAGGAGCAGAGTGCAGGGCACAGGCCCCGGGAGGGAATTCTGCCTAACAGTGCTGCTCCTGGAGGTAGCATGGGCTGGGGGACAGAGGACAGGCTGTGATGTCATGAGGCCTGGGTTCTAGTTCCTGGCCTCCTGTGTGACATTGGGCAAGTCACTTCTCCTCCCCATGCCTCGGTTTTCCCCTCTGTAAAAGAGGGCAGTGACACGGGCTGTCTTCGGAAAGCTATTTGAGACCTACCACTGAAAAGCCCTAGTGAAGAGTGACTACATCATTGCTCGCTGCTGAAATGCAGCCACCTCTGGGCTAGAACGGGGCTGCTGTGTAACAATCCATACCAGCAGTTCAAGACATCCCCGTGGCGGGGAAGGGGTAAGCAAGACTTGACTCTTACCAGAAGAACCAGGGGTTTCTAAGGCATGTTTGTAACCAGGAGAGAACTGGCTGATGAAAGTCCCAGGTATCCAAAGTCCTCGTCAGAGCCTTTTATTTCAACATACAAGTACAGGGATTTCAGGCCACCAACTTGGAAGGGACAGAACCGGTTGTGCTGGGAGAGAAAGGAGCCTAGCGGTTACACAACTGAATGGTGGCTGGAGGGAGGAGGGGAAGAGCCTGGGGCTTTTGAGCAGGATCCTCCAATGACCTCCCTGTGCCTCTCTCAACCTCCGTGAGGTGGCCCAAGCGCAGATCTGAATGCAGCTGGGGGTGGCTGGAGAGCCCGTCCTGAGCTGGCTGGGTGTACAAGCATGGAGGGGGGGAAGCTGTCCACCCCTCTTGGCACACTTCAGGGGCTGGCCTGGCTGTGCAGTGCCCTTTTCCCTGCCGCTGACCCCCAGGTAGAATGACCAGTGGTGGGTACTTGTTGTTCCAAGAAGCACGACTAGCATTCCAGATCTGAGCTGCCACCTCCCCTGCTCAGCCCCAGTCCAGCACTCGCAGGGAACAGAATTTAAGTTCAGGACAACCATGGCTCCCAATCTGAGGATTCTAGATCGTGTACTCCCTTATGCTGCTTCCGCCCCCTCAGCTGAGGCAGGGGCAGATTCTGGGGCAGTGGTGGCAGCATCAGCAGCTTGCTTCCTGGCCTCCTCCTTCAGCTGTTTCTTCTTCAGCTTGAGTTCCTTGCGCTGTTTCTTGTCCATCTCTTGCAGCAGCTCCTGGAATTTGGTGCTGCGGGGGTCCACCTTGTGACCAAAGCGCTCCTGGACCTCAGCCAGCAGCCGCTCCTTCCGGGCCTTGTCCTCCCGCTCCTTCTCCTTGCGCGCTGCCTTTTCCCGCCGCCACTCCTCGATCATCTGTGGCATCTTGGCCATGTTGGCAGCGATCAGATTCTCTCTGCCAGCGCAAATCGGAAACAAGCCGTGAGACACTCACCACGACCGGGCACAAGCGGCAGGCTCTTTGTATCTCTCCTGCCACTGCCATTGCCTTGGCAATTTGTATGGGTGACAGAGGTCACCTCTCCTGTGGAGTTAGTAAAATAACGTACTCCCCTTTCCTGGGGGGCGGGCCTGGGAATGGCCACTGCTAGGTTTTTGCTTCTACTGGTGGTGCCCCTGATTCGGTGCCCATACAAATATTCCACACATAGGTGGAAAGATTAGCAGGAATATTACCTGACCCCTCCGTGACCAGAGCCCCCCCCCGCCTTGGAATGACACCTCCACGATAAGGTTTCTCCCCAGTGTTTCCTGTAAGCTGTGCAATTGGGCAGCTATGCCATCCAGCTGTTCAGCAGACTGCCCACTGCTAGGTTTTTGCTTCTACTGGTGGTGCCCCTGATTCGGTGCACATACAAATATTCCACACATAGGTGGAAAGATTAGCAGGAATATTACCTGACCCCTCCGTGACCAGAGACCTCCACGATAAGGTTTCTCCCCAGTGTTTCCTGTAAGCTGTGCAATTGGGCAGCTATGCCATCCAGCTGTTCAGCAGACTGCCCACTGCTAGGTTTTTGCTTCTACTGGTGGTGCCCCTGATTCGGTGCACATACAAATATTCCACACATAGGTGGAAAGATTAGCAGGAATATTACCTGACCCCTCCGTGACCAGAGCCCCCCCCCGCCTTGGAATGAGTCAA